TCAATGTACACAAATCAGCACCACTGCTAAACACCAACCGCTACCAAGCTGAAAATTGAATCAAGAACTCAACCCTTTGCAAAAACCTGAAAAAAAAAAAATAATTAGAAATATAGGCCGGGCGCGGTGGCTCAAGCCTGTAATCCCAGCACTTTGGGAGGCTGAGACGGGCGGATCACAAGGTCAGGAGATCGAGACCATCCTGGTTAACACGGTGAAACCCCGTCTCTAGTAAAAAATACAAAAAACTAGCCGGGCGAGGTGGCGGGCGCCTGTAGTCCCAGCTACTCGGGAGGCTGAGGCAGGAGAATGGTGTGAACCTGGGAGGCGGAGCTTGCAGTGAGCTGAGATCTGGCCACTGCACTCCAGCCTGGGCGACAGAGCTAGACTCCATCTCAAAAAAAAAAAAAAGAAATATACCTAACCAAGGAGGTGAAATACATCTACAAAGAAAATTACAAAACACTGCTTAAAGAAACCATAGATATCACAATCAAATGGAAACATATCCTATGCTCATGGATAGGTAGTGTCAATATTGTAAAAATGACCATACTGACAAAAGCATTCTACAAGTCAGTTTTCATCAAAATACCACCATCATTCTTCACAGAACTAGAAAAAAATCCTAAAATTCATATGGAGCCTTAAAAAAGCCCACATAGCCAAAGCAAGACTAAGCATAAAGTAAAAAATTAGAGGCATCACATGACCTAACTTCAAACTACACTACCAGGCTATAGTTACCAAAACAACATGCTACTGGTATGAAAGTAGACACACAGACAAATAGAACAGAATAGTGAACTCAAAAATAAAGCCAAATACTTTCAGCCAACTGATCTTTGAGAAAGTAAATCAATACATAAGGTAGGAAAAGGACACCCTATTCAACAAATGCTCCTGGGATAATTGGCAAACCACATGTGGAAGAATAAAACTGAATCTTCATCTCTTACCTTATACAAAAATTAATTCCATATGGAGAAAAGATTTAAATCTAAAACTTGAAACTGTAAACATTGTAGAAGCTAACATCAGAAAAACTCTTGTAGACGTTGGCTTGGGCAAATAGTGCATGACCAAGAACCCACAAGCAAATAAAACAAAAACAAAGAAAAAGAAAATGGGACTTAATTAAACCAGAAACCTTCTTGACTACAACAGAAATAATCAGCAGAGTAAACTTACAACCCACCAAGTGGGAGAAAATCTTCACAGTCTGTGCATCCAACAAAAGACAAATATTCTGAATCTACAAGGATCTCAAAAGAATCAGAAAAAAAAAAAAAATCCCATGAAACAGTAAGCTAAAAACATGAATAAACAATTCTCAAAAGGAGATATACAAATGGCCAACAAACATATAAAAACATGCTAAACATCACTAGTTATCAGGGAAATGCAAATCAAAACCACAATGTGATACCACCTTATTCCTACAAGAATGGTCTTAATTTAAAAATTTAAAAATGCCAGATGTTGACAAGAATGTGGTGAAACAAAAGCACTTTTACACTGCTGGTGGGAATGTAAACTAGTACAACCACTATAAAAGAAAAAACAGAATGAAGATTTTTTAAAGAACTAAAGGAGGCCGGGTGCGGTAGCTCAAGCCTGTAATCCCGCACTTTGGGAGGCCCATACGGGCAGATCACGAGGTCAGGAGATGAAGACCATCCTGGCTAACACGGTGAAACCCTGTCTCTACTAAAAAAAAAAAAAAAAAATACAAAAAACTAGCTGGGTGAGGTGGTGGGCGCCTGTAGTCCCAGCTACTCGGGAGGCTGAGGCAGGAGAATGGCGTAAACCCGGGAGGCGGAGCTTGCAGTGAGCTGAGATCGGGCCACTGCACTCCAGCCTGGGCGACAGAGCAAGACTCCATCTCAAAAAAAAAAAAAAAGAACTAAACGTAGGGCTGGGCCTGGTGGCTCACGGCTGTCATCCCAGCCCTTTAGGAGACTTAGGCAGGTGGATCAGGAGGTCAGGAGTTCAAGACCAGCCTGGCCAAGATGGCGAAACCCTGTCTCTACTAAAAATACAGAAAAAATTAGCTGGGCATGGTGGCAGGCGCCTGTGATCCCAGGTACTTTGGAGGCTGAGGCAGGAGAATCTCTTGAACCCCGGCGGCAGAGGTTGCAGTGAGCCAAGATCATGCCACTGCACTCCAGCCTGGGTGACAGAGTGAGAATCTGTCTCAAAACAAAAACAAAAACAAACAAACAAACAAAAACTAAAACTAAAGGTAGAACTATCATTTGATACAGCAATCCCACTACTCGTTATCTACACACAGAAAAAGAAATCATTATATTAAAAAGACACATGCACACACGTTTATACCAGCACAATTTGCAACTGTAAAAATACAGAACCAGCCTAAATGCCTATCATCCAATGAGTGGATAAAGAAATGTGATATATATGTGTGCATATATATCACTATATATATCCATATATATATACACACATACACAAACAATGGAATACTACTCAGTCAAAAAAGGAACAGAATATTGGCATTTGAAGAAACCTGGATGAAGTTGGAGACAATTATTCTAAGTGAAGTAACTCAGGAATGAAAAACCAAATATTATATGTTCTCACTCATAGTGGGAGCTAAGCTCTTATGCAAAGGTGTAAGAATTATACACAGGACTCTGGGGACTCAGGTGGAAGGGTGGACATAAATTCAATGTTAAATGTGAACTCATGGAGAACCTAGACAGCCAACAGCCACTTGTTCATTCCTGAGTTTGGAGGGGCCCTTCTGAATTGTTAGATGTACCCAAGGTTAAAGGCCCTGAAGTGTTGCTGAAGGACATGTTGACTCTCATACTTGGGCCAGGAATATGTCACAATATTTTCTGAGGGCAGGGACCAGACAGGAGTGTCACATCACCTGAATACTCAGTCGGGAATATGTTACAATTTTCTCCTGACAGCAGGACACAGGCAGCAGAGTCAAATCACCTGGATGCTGAACCCAGCAATAGGTAACAATGCTCTCTGTGGTTCAAGGCCCAGGCAGGAGAGACACATTACCTGGTACCTAGGCTTAGTGATAAGTCCCAATTTTTCCTGTGGGCACAGTGCAGGGAAAAATGGAGATCTTAGGTGATTGATGCAGAGATATGTCACAAGGCCCTCTGTAGAAAGGGCCCAGGCGAGGGCCTTCCATTTTATATATGTTGGGCCTAGTAATATGTCCTATTGTGCAAAATATTCTGGGCCTAGGTAAAAGAAAAGAGTCACATAACCTGAATGCAGAACTTAGCAGTATGTCACGATGCACCCTGTGGGCAGCACCAAGGCAAGAAAAAAGACTTACATTACCTTTATTCCTGATTTAAAGTCCAATGTCTTGTAAGAGAATATTGACTAATGCAAAAATACATACAGACATGTGTGTGTGTGATTGGTGCTTATATTCACACAGTCCCCCATACCACAGGAGAAAACAGATAACTGTCAGGCCTCTGAGCTCAAGCCAAGCCATCGCATCCCCTGTGACTTGCACGTATAGGCCTGTGACTTGCACGTCCGCATCCCCTGTGACTTGCATGTATACGCCCAGATGGCCTGAAGTGAAAATGCCCTGCCCCACCTTAACTGATGACATTCCACCACAAAAGAAGTGAAAATGGCCGGTCCTTGCCTTAAGCGATGACATTACCTTGTGAAATTCCTTTTCCTGGCTCATCCTGGCTCAAAAAACTCCCCTACTGAGCACCTTGTGACTCCCACTCCTGCCCGCCAGAGAACAACCCCCCTTTTGACTGTAATTTTCCTTTACCTACCCAAATCCTATAAAACAGCCCCACCCTTATCTCCCTTCGCTGACTCTCTTTTCGGACTCAGCCCGCCTGCACCCAGGTGATTAAAAAGCTTTATTGCTCACACAAAGCCTGTTTGGTAGTCTCTTCACATGGACGCGCATAACAATAACCACAGACTGACCATTAGGGCCAAGTCCAAATAGCAAAATAAGCTTGCCTTTAATCTATTTTCTCCATATCTAAACATTGGAGGTTAAGACTGTGGACAGATCTGAAGATAGAGTTTTCTTGTTTTGTGGCTTCATCATTCTTTGTTCACTGTCTGATGTTTGGAATTAAGGTGAGCAACAGGGGGGCAGTAGTGGTTAATAAAATAACCAGAGGTAACCACAGGTCGACCTGCGGTTATTTTATTCTATCTGTCCTCTGTTCTTTCTATGGTCACTAACTGTTTCTTCCTTGGAATTGAAGAGAGATGTTGGTAGAGAGAAGCTGTCCATTCACCTCTGGCAAAAAAGGGATGTTCAGGCTCTTCACTCCCCTGACATCAGAGCTGCACTTTAATGTGGCAGCTATTGGCCACGTGTGGCTACTGGGTGCCTGGAATGTGGCTGGTCTGAATTGCAATGTGTTAGAAAGGTAAAATACAGTTATTTTCAAAGATTTAGTTCCACATATATGTGTGTGTGGGGTGTGTGTGTGTGTGTGTATATATATGTGTGTTTCATTAATAATTTCATATTGCTCCCATATTAAAATAATACTTTGGATATATTGGGTTAATTAAATTGTTACAATCAATTCCATTTGTTTTTTTCTTTTCAAAATTTGACTACTAGAAAATTTAAAATTCACATGTGGCTCACATTTTATTTGAGGATTGCTTCTTTTTAAAATTCTCGGGCTGCCTACTCAAAGGACCAGAAGCCAGGAAGGTCATAAAATCTGAAATTCTAAAATAATAATTATTATATTATTTTTATTTGTGAGTAGCCACATATCATTTACAAGTGTATATGACCTTATACACAAGGTTAAATACAAATACCCTCTGGGATGGGCCGGGCTCAGCTGAAAGAGGAAGCCCTGGCTGAAAAGGCTGCAGGGTAGGCTGTCACTCTGCATTCAGCCCAGTGTCTGATCACATCTTCTGTCACTCAGGGCCTGAAGGGTCAGGACCTTAAACGTTGTCCAATCAGGCACGCTGGGCTGGGAACCGTCCAATCAGGCACGCAGCTGGAGCAGACAAGATGGCTTCCGGGATTTGGCGGCGCCTTTGTCTCTGGCTGCAGCCGGAGCCCCAGGTTTCGCCTTCACTTCTCTGTGTCGTCTGCTCCTAGAGGTCCAGCCTCAGTGGGCCTGTGACCTGCAGAAACTGGGAGATCCACAGCTAAGACTCCAGGACCCCCTGGAAGCCTAGAAATGGTGAGCGTTCCGGGTGCGACACCCCCAGAGGTGGAAGGGGCTGGTTGGAACCGGTGGGAAGTGGCTATAGCGGGACTCAGGCCTCCCGGCAGTCAGCTCCACAATCTGCACCCCGAGTTCTTCCCCAGCTTGGCCTCAGTCCCCTGCAGCCATAAGATGGCGGCGCGCTGACAGCCAGGCCCCGGGGCGTCCGTCTCTTCTCTGCGTAGTGACTGTGCCCTGGCCTGTAGCCCTCTCTGGCAGCTCTGTACCCGCAGTGCCGCATCTCTCTCCGATTGTGCAGGGATCACGGGACGGGCGTCACGGGAGAATCCTGACTCAGGGTGCGGGTTCATTAATGGGAACAGTTTTCCTCCATGGGGTTCCCAGTTCCTATTTTCTCCTGTTAAAATTTTATGGGAGGGCCGGGCGCGGTGGCTCACGTCAGTAATCCCAGCACTTTGAGAGACCGAGGCAGGTGGATCACCTGAGGTCAGGAGTTCAAGACCAGTTTGACCAACATGGTGAAACCCCGTTTCTACTAAAAATCCAAAATTAGCCGGGCGTGGCGGCACATGCCTGTAATCCCAGATACTCGGAAGGCTGAGGCAGTAGAATCGCTTGAACCCGGGAGGTGGCGGTTGCTGTGAGCCGAGATGGCGCTATTGCACTCCAGCCTGGGCAACAAGAGCGAAATTCCGTCTCAAAAAATAAGTAAATAAATAAATAAATAATAGGGGTCACCACAAAAATATTGTAGAATTTAATCAAAGATGGAATCAAAAATTGTGGAGCACTCAGCTGTGGTTTGTAGCTTGTGACTTATGAGAGCAACTTGAAAGACTTTTAAAGGTACATGATGAAGATAACCAAATTAAATAATTGGTTAGGTACAGTTCATAGTTACTTGATTTGTACGATTGAGGTGGACATTTCCTGGTTATGTAATCAGAGGTTAATTGGCAGTTTATGATTGATTAAGCCTAAATTTTGTTTTCGTCAGTCCAGTAATTTACAAAAAAAAAGCATTTGAGTTAGCGTTTTTAAAAAGTAGGAACCCAGGGACTAGAGTAACCTCAGTCTCATTACCTGCTACTTAGTTATTTTAACACTCCACAGGGGACTGATTTTCCCCTGCGTTTTTCCGCAGTTCTCTCAAGCTGGGTCTCAAGTCTACCCCTCACATCCCATTCCTCCAGACTAACTATGACTTGTAGTAAAATACTAAATTTCCAGTTTCTTCTCACATTGTCAAATGCCACTTTCCCCTTTTCTAATTCACATTATCAATTATTTGTCTTTTATTTTACACTTCAGATACTGTATTCTAACCATTTTTTGACATTGGCACTAAAAAAATTGTTTTCTGTTTGAAAATATTTTTTATGAGAAGAAAAAGAAGAACAATCCCCTGACACTGTATTGTAAAAAAATCTTTTCGCCTCATTTTTAAAAATCTTCTCTAGGCACAGAGATAGTATCAGAATATTTTTGGGTCAAGATTTCCCTTTGGAAACTTTATGGGTGATGTGGCCTCAGCCACCCTTCAGTTTTTTCTAGTCCTGGGCTTCAGTAGTTTCTGTGAATAAACCAATATACCTCCCATGGCTATGTCTGCTTGAGTGTCTAGTGAATATAATCTACTGGGTTGTTTTCTTTCATAAAACAACCTGAGGTATGGAGTGTAGCCTCTTAGTGGAACAAATGGATGCCCTTGGACTGATCGGACTCTCACCTGCGCTCTTCCTTTGAAAAACTAACCCTTGCCTGCACGGTGATGCATGCCTGTAATTCCAGCACTTTGGGAGTCTGAGGCAGTGGATCGCCTGAGGTCAGGAGTTCGTGACCAGCCTGACTAACATGGTGAAACCCCGTCTCTACTAAATACAAAGAAATTAACTGGGCCTGGCGGTGCATGCCTGTAATCCGAGCTACTTGGGAGGCTGAGCCAGGAGAATCGCTTGTACCTGGGAGGTGGAGGTTGCAGTGAGCCGAGATCGCGCCATTGAACTCAAGCATGGGCACCAAGAGCGAAACTCCATCTCAAAAAAAGAAAAAATAACCCTTGAGACATTAAGATTGCCTTTACTCAACCCAGCTTCCATTTCTTGGAGACACATTGCTGATGACAGCCAATCAGATACTGGTATTGAGGGAAAAACACAGAGATAATTTCTGTCCCCTGGATTGTCTAAGATTTGTGAAAGAAAAAATAGCATTTCAAAAGACAAAAAAAAGTGAGTCAGTGAAACGATGCAAAAACTTGCAAAGTAAAATGCACTTGGGGCGGTCACTGAGGCATAGTGCAGTGAGAGGGTGGTCACTGAGCACTTAAGTGAGCAGGATGGGGTGGGAGAGTCTCTCAAGTGATTGGTGACCTGACTTGACACATGAATTAGACACATCTGTTTTCTTTTTTTTTTTTGAGATGGGGTTTTGCTCTTGTTGCCTAGGCTGGAGTTCGGTGGCACCATCTCGGCTCACTGCAACCTCTGCCTCCCAGGTAGCTGGGATTACAGGCATACACCACCATGCCCAGCTAATTTTGTGTTTTTAGTATAAACAAGAGTTTTCCCATGTTGGCCAGGCTTGCCTCGAACTCCCCACCTCAGGTGATCCACCCCTCTCGGCCTCCCAAGATGCTGGGATCACAGGCATGAGCCACCGTGCGGGGCTGACACATCTGTTTTCTAATCAGCATTGCCACTCCCTAGCTTTGTCACCTTGAAAAGATTTGTGCACTTATTTTTACTTTTTTTTTTTTTTGAGACGGAGTCTCGCTTTGTCGCCCAGGCTGGAGTGCAGTGGCGTGATCTCGGCTCACTGCAAGCTCTGCCTCCCGGCTCACTGCAAGCTCTGCCATTCTCCGGCCTCAGACTCCCCAGTAGCTGGGACTACAGGTGCCCGCCACCACACCCGGCTGATTTTTTTGTATTTTTAGTAGAGACGGGGTTTCACTGTGTTAGCCAGGATGGTCTCGATCTCCTGACCTCGTGATCCACCCGCCTCTGCCTCCCAAAGTGCTGGGATTACAGGTGTGAGCCACCACGTGTAGCCGGTGACTTTAGTTTTTTTAAATGTAAATTGCATTTTATTAGTAGCATTTCAAAGGTAAGCAAATATGTCCAAAAAGCATGTAAGAGTTGGGTTTCAGGAAAAAAAAAAATCTAATTTTATATTCTATTTATTAAAAGTTTTTATTTACCTTTTTCTTTCCCATAGTGAGTTTAGAAAATTTGTCAGTTGTGTTTATGGCTGGGTGATTTCAAACAGAATTCCAAGGTTTAGCTGTTAGAATCCTACTAAGGAAAAGAATAAGGGCCAGGTGCGGTGGCTCACACCTGTTATCCCAGCATTTTGAAAGGCTGAGGTATGCGGATCATGAGGTCATGAGTTCGGGACCAGCCTGGCCAATATGGTGAAACCTCATCTCTACTAAAAATACAAAAATTAACCAGGCATGGTGGCGCACGCCTGTAGTCCCACCTACTTGGGAGGCTGAAGCAGGAGAATCGCTTGAACTCGGGAGGTGGAGGTTGCAGTGAGCTGAGATCGTACCACTGCACTCCAGCCTGGGTGACAGAGTGAGAGAATCCCTCTTCCTTTTTGGCTGTAAAAATTAAATACATTTCCACAAGAAAATGTAGTAGATAATTGGTGAGTTACATAGATTCATGAAAACATAGTTCCTCTTTTTGCACCATAAATTTGTGACAGTGAATATCAGTTCTGTATCCTATGATCTTGATTTCTGAATTTAATGCTAAGTGTTATGAGATGAAATTTGGTACCTCCTAGAAGTGTTCTCATATGACGAATTGTTTACTACATAACTTTCTTTTTTTCTGAGACGGAGTCTCGGTCTGTCACCCAAGCTGGAGTGCAGTGCCATGATCTCGGCTCACTGCAACCTTCCGTCTCCCAGATTCAAGTGATTCTTCTGCCTCAGCCTCCCGAGTAGCTGGGATTACAGGTGCGCATCACCAAGCCTGGCTAATTTTTGTATTTGTAGTAGAGATGGGGTTTCACCATGTTGGCCAGGCTAGTCTCGAACTCCTGACTTCAGGTGACCTGCTGGCCTTGGCCTCCCAAAGTGCTGGGATTACAAGTGTGAGCCACCGTGCCTGGCCTACTACATAACTTTTAAAATAAATAATAAAATAATACTTTTATTGTTTGAAAGGTATAGACACTTTTGGTTTTCTTATAGAGGTATGAAATGGAAGCGCCTTAAAATTTTCTTTTTGTATGCCAACACTGTGTTTCAGTAATTTTGCTGGATTTTTCAAACACTTAGTTTCAGACACCAAGTGAATAACTCAGATATGAAAATTAAAGCTTGAACTCATCTAAAGCTAATATTGAGCCTGCAAAAGGAGGTTATTAAAGGTCCAGTTGGTTCTTTCTGGGGAGCCTTTTCTGCAGATATCTCAGCCTGCTCACCTCAGCCATGGAAGAAGGCTTTACCCTGAGAGAAGCTTGAGAGCCCTGGGAAGCTGGAGATGCACAGGCAGGTGCAGTTAAGATTAAAATGAAAAAGGACTGGGAAGGTCTTACTGAAGATAAAATTATTATTGATTTGAGGCAGTTTCTAAATTTTATAAAATGAAACAAAGTTAGATTTATGTAAAAAAATTTAATTCCAAAGGAGTATTGCAACAGGAGGAAGTACCAACTATTATTGCAAAGTTCAGGCAGACAAGGGCTTTTTTTCACAGAGGGGAGAAAACAAGATTAGAAAGAAAATAGCAGAAGAATGGCGAATAGAGGGTGAAAAAATCAGGTTTTAGGTCAGAAAATGTTTTACCCTGAAGTTAGCATGTTCTTAGGATGAACATAAAATGGGGCTGTATGTTGGCTCAGACCGAGTGTAGCTCAGTTTAGTAGCTGTGGGAAAAGAAAAACTTAAGTTTGATTAAGAAGTATTTTATTTTGACCACTGAAGACAAATTTAGCTGATTTTTTAATAAGAAAAGGAAGGAAATGTGCAGTCTATGTCTGGCTATACGACAGGTGAGAAA